TCTCTCTCTCTCTCCAGACTAAAAACTTTTCACACCTTTTTGTGTAAATGCAATGATATATGATTTGCAAACTATACTAATTTTTAAATTATAAATACAATGGATTTCCGTATTAACACAAAAACTATTCATTTTATACACGCATTGAAATGAATGAGAAAACAACAAAACAAAAGACAATTTTGGTGTTAAATATAATGATTAAAGTGTTAGTGGAAAGACGTTTCTGTGCATCAGGTATCCTATGATTATGAAACTTAACAGTAGTATACGGAGTGAGAGGTTAGGTATGTTTTGAGAGACTGGGGGAACGGGTGGTTGAGTGGGCATACGATGAGAGCTCACACATAAATATATACAATTAGTAGACATCAATCAAAATCAGTGTTTTTATTCACAAATAATAAAATATAATAAAAATATACTTTTTTCTAGAGAGAGAATATTTACGAAGTTTTTTTTACAAATCCATTGAATTTGTGATCACAAAAAATTATTACCTTATAGTGAGTGATGTGTGCGAACCCGTAGACAGACAGACACTACCGGAGCGCCCAAACACCGTATCCTCACTCAATATAACGCCCATTGAAACCATTAAAATCATTGAATATTTCACACAAAACTCTATTTTTCAAGTTTTATATTTCACTGTCATTTGATATTATAGCTTATGGTGTGTGAAGTGTTTGGTGTGTATTATGTCATATAATTTTATATAAGAAAAGTTTGTTTATAACAAAAATATTTTATATACAGTAACTCTCTCTCTCTCTCTCTCTCTCTCTCTCTCTTTACTTTCTTTCTTTCTGCCATCAAATCATGTAATGTATGACTGGTCTCGTCATACATTTGATGCCAATTACATAACACATATCCAGTGATTATCAACACTTCATATAAAATTTGAACCCAAGAAACCTAAGAAATACTCTGATATATTGCATCAAAAATATGTTAAAGCATAACATCTTAAAAATTTATCAAAAATAATAAAATTTTAATTAGGAATGTATTTAATTCTCCGCAAAATTATCCAAAAAGTTTAAAATACTAATAAATTTTCAATTATGTGTATAAATCAAGGGAAAGCCATGTCATATACTCCTGGAGGGTTAGCCAATAATTGGTTACATTTTATAAACTTTTTAAAAATCTTTAATAAATATTATAATCTTTAAAGATTTTGTTTTGTTTTTGATATCAATAATTTCACATAAATCAAAATTGTTACCAAATTATTGACAATAAAATCGTATAAAAACTTATGAATACGTTTTGATGAGATTTTCTGTGAGATTTTGTAGACTTTTCTTGAAATATATTTTAAAGTTTTTTAATATAATATATTGTTTCATGGTAACAAAAACACATCATTTCAAATATAATTCCCACTAATGTTTCGGTTTAGATATCCATTAGTTGTTAAATAATATCTCCGAAAATATATCAAAAAAACTTTTTTGTTTAGAAACTATTTTTTAGCTTGAGAAATTGTTATCCCGGAGTTTCATAGCCATTAATATAACGCTCAACAAAAATAATAATAAATTGTTGGCTAAAAATAACACACAGAAACAAGCAAAAAGTTTGTTATAATTTACTTTTTTCGATGGATTAGACAATTGTGAGAACCATTAGTTGGAAAATAAATGTTTTTATAAGATATAAAACATGTTATAAATATACTATGGATTACCACACGTGGAAAATACTCATATTTGACAAAAAGTAATTAAATTATTATTATGTTATACACTGTATATAATATACAGTATAATAATCATGATGTTGAAACTAAATGTCAAACGATTTGGTATTTTAAAGCTAAATATTATATAAATTAGTTTAGGTACAATTGTAAAGTAAAATTGAAGCAAAAAACACATATTACTTGGAATTAATATCATAAATATTATCTATGGTATACCTCTATATGTACCAGACCTCCTAGTATTATTCAACTTAATACTGTAGTAATTAATTTACATCAAATATCATCGCTAATAAAATGTTATTAAAACATTTTCATGCATTTATGAATTTTTGTTGTCAATTAAACAATACAATTGTTTTTAATAATATTAATATATTTATTATACTCCTTGTGTGGCAATCAATAGAGGGATTGGAAATCCAACTCAACTCCTATACTGTATTATAATTTTCATATGAAATCCAATGAATAGTTTTTAATACAATTTATTGAAAGAATAATATTTATATAAAATCTGTAAAATATTTCAGATTTAAATATTATGTACATTAAAATTCATAAAATTTTGTATAATTTAATTAAATATCGATTTATTTGTATTATATCGAGAGTTCATTGTATGATATTTTTGTAATATGAAAACAAAATATATAATTATAATGTTTGCAGTAAATATAAGTGGTTTGCAAACTTACATTTTGAATTTAATATATTTATATCACACAATATTTGAGTACTACTTATGTAATGAAAGTGCATATAGTGTCTACTTTTTATGTCTGAAAAAATATAATTTATTATATAATTGTCTTATTTAATTAAAATACAAGTGAATGTAAAAATTGTTTTGAAAAACAAAACGTTTTGTTTTAATAATAGGTTTTTATTCATTATTGTTGTTATTGTTTTCATATTTTTATTTTTATATGTTTTAAAATTTAATAAAAGATGTTTTGTTTGTTATTTATATTTCGTAATCTCTTTTGAATCATTAAATTCTTGTTTTTAAAAAACTTTTTAGAGAGAGAGAGAGAGAGAGAGAGAGAGAGACTTTAAGAAGCATTTAAACAATTTATTAATAATTCAATTTGAAAACTGCGGATACGATTGAAAAGCAATGATAAAAGACTTTCAGCACTGATTAGAAATAAATAGTTATATATATATTTTCAGTCTGAAAAACACCCGAAAATGTTTGAAACGAGAAAAAAATATCTCAAGAATTTTCGCATCACTCGTATGGATGTAAGCGGTGCTGAAAATGGGATACTATTTTGGGCTGAAAAACACGTTTGGCTTTTAGTATCGGATTTTAGTTTTTTCCGATTCCGACTCCAAAAACAATACAAAAGCCTAATCTAATAATTAAAGACCGAGAGAGAGAGAGAGAGAGAGAGAGAGAGAGAGTTCAGGAACATTAAACGTACGAAAAGGTCTAAAATCTAATAAAACTCTTTTAAGACTTCAATTCCGGTATTCATTTGGGGAAACAAACAAAAACTCAGTGCAAATAAAAGGGTAATTATATTTAACTGCTTATAAAATTATTTTATGCCAATAAGTCGGTATTTGCCATTGACTTTATAGTGAACTCGCTTTAATATAAACTTGATCAAATGTGCTTATTGTGATAAAAACTTGTATTATACAAATATTAATAAATAGATTGGTATATAACCTTGGTTGGTAATAATCCAGTAATTAAATACAATATAAATAGTAGCTTAAAAGCTTTATTTAGTAATGAATAATGTATCTCGTTTATTTGATTATTTTTGTTGGTGAATAGGAATATTCATTATAAAAATATTGAACACAATAACAATATTTATAGAAAACGCCCATTGATTACAAATCAGGATTGAGGAGTGATAGGGAACGGTATGTCAAACCTAATGCAAGAATTATTCAGAAATTTTGTACTATTTTATTAGTTATTATTTAGTATAATACAATGTATTTGTAATATTTACGGCACCGGGAGGTGTCTGATATCAGGAACCACTTCGTCTGTTAACAGTCAGACAGACTGTAAAAAGGAGTTTCAAATCAAATAATGTATTGAATTTACGGATAGTTTTTGTGCCAACACTTGAAACAAAAAACAAAGTTTTGGTTTTTTAATACACTTATGTATTGTTATCTATAAATACTTATTATGTATACAATTACTACTATAACTGCTTTATATATCTAAATATAGTATGATTACTGTGAATAGTATACACAAATAGCTCGTAAACTTTATTTCATGAAAAGTAAATATAAAATTTTAAGCATATTCTCAGAAATGGTAATAAAAAACTCGGAAAACAGTCTTTTCATACATCAAAAGGTTTACCTAAGAGTTAAATCTCATTAAAAAAATAAATTTTCCTCTTTTAGTATAAAGATATTTGCGATTATAATGAGTCGATTCACTACTGATAATAGGAATTATTAGATTCTCAGAGAGAGAGAGAGAGAGAGAGAGAGAGAGAGAGAGATTTTGTTTGAAAAAATTAGAAATACTTTTATTGAAGTTGACGTTAAGCATAACTACCAGCCCTTATTATGAGCTGAGACTGGGAAGGGTAGACAGAGAACAGGTATTTCATTGAATATATCTTATTTCTATCGGACGTGACTTTACTTCACATAACATAACACATGAATTTATATTTGATGCCATAAATCGTACGATTCACTCGACTCTACCTAATATTCTGTACACTGCATTCATTCTGCTAATCAGCACCGGTAGCAATCACGGTGTAATTTAATGTATAATCACATTATATTACTTAGGGTAATTATTATTATTTGTACGATTCACTCCACTCTACCTAATATTCTGTACACTGCATTCATTCTGCTAATCAGCACCGGTAGCAATCACGGTGTAATTTAATGTATAATCACATTATATTACTTAGGGTAATTATTATTATTTAAAAATACAAGTATAAATATGTTGCTCAAAATTAAGTTATAAGTTTTTAAGCAGATTGTTATATATTTATAAAATATTTCACTGGATATATTATACATAGCTATACAGTATAATAGTTTTCTATGAATAAAATATTAATTAATAAAAGCAAATGAAAAACAAAATTATTTTTAAAGTGATTTTATTTATAATTAAATTTTCAAAAAAATCAATTTATTGATAACAATCTTATATCAGTTTCTTAATTATGTATGCAATCAGTCATACAATAAATATGTGAGCAATAAATGAACGATCGATACGTTTATATGATAAACGGATGGATACATAAAAGGGTGAACAGATAGTGTTTTGCATCCCATTCCCCCAATCGATCGGTTCATTTAGGTTTTGGTGATTTTGATGGTGATGTCGATGGAGTAGTAGTTTTTGATGACTTTTGGCTACACTTATTAGTCTTTTTTGGTGGCACTTTTGGGCGCCTTTATGCAAAATATGAGGAACAGAGTATAGACAATGAACGCACCGGTAATCGATGCCAAGGCATACATAAACAGATTCAGCTCCGGGTGTCTGTACCTGTTTTTCCGCAACCACTCCAACACGTCCTCCTCACGCATCAGATCGCCTGTCCGTGCGATACAAATAGGGTATGTTTATAGAGTATGTTCAACAGTGATGGGGATGGGGTGGTATGGGTAGGGTTTGTCATATTGGAAAGGTGTATTCAGGTGTGTACTGACTAAGAGTATTTGATATATAATTATTTGATAAAGTGTTGAAATTTATAAATTATATGACAATAGGGTTGTGGTGTCTGTTTAAAACTGTAGCTCAACAATACCCTTAAAGGCTAACTCCAGGCGCAGTCATACAGTAAAACAATTACAGAAATAAATTATTAGTTTTGTGACATTTAATGGCAATTTTTGTGCAAATTATATTTAATGCATGATGAGTATGTTTTTGTAAAACTCTGGAATGATTATAGCTTAAATATTTGATAATAAGAATGTGTGTATTATATACCAGTAAATAATGTTCACACTTTTCTAGTCTCTCTCTCTCTCTCTCTCTCTCTCTCTCTCTTATTCACTCACTCACATAAAATTAATATAACAGAAAAAATATTTTTCTTCTGTTTACTGCCTAGTGATGAGAGAGAGAGAGAGAGAGAGAGAGCGTACAAAACGTCTAACTCATTGACTGATAATAACAGGTAGTTATCACATGAGATGAGAGTATATTCTGACAGCTAATGGTATTTCGTGTAATAATTATTAGTGTTTTTATAGCCATTATATTATATCCGAGTATTTGGTTCTCATAAATAAAATAATTTTTCTGTCACACCATTTGCCGAACAGATTTTTCCGATCAATATAATAGCACCGGTAGTTTTGATAGCAAATAACTAACATTATTGTATCGGACATACGTGTGCGACATTTTGTACGCTTTTCCTGAGATGTCTAACCCATTGATATATCATTAAAGGGACTGGTATCCAAACTTTTGAATTGCAATCATATGAAGACTACTAAAATATTAGCAATACTTGTGTGTATATGCATAACATCCCATTCCCACACCTGTACCCTTGGTAATAGTAGGTATAGGAGTAATAACAAAAGAATATTCTGCAATATATACCGCGATAAATAGCCGGAAACTTTTTTCTGAACATGACGAGCGCCGGCACTTCGCTGATGCCATACTTCCTGGCGTACCGACTGTCCCTTATCTTGACAAACATGATGTCCAGGTCATCGCACTCGTCGTCGATGTGCTCCAACTCATGCAACACTTCCTCGCAGTCGTAACAGTCCTTCTCATCTGTTAATCCCATAGAGAATCAGTTAATCCATGACTTCATATAAGTCTTAAAATCTGGAGTTTTATGTAATAATATGGGACTCATTCTGTAGGGTCTGTATGGTATTTACTTAAAATATGTCTACATCATATATAATTTCTATTACTGGATATCTGCAACATGGACCTCGAACATATATCTCTAGATATAAAATTATGAATGAATAAATACTTGGAATAAAATTTTGGAAATTGTACACCAATTTAGTTTTGTAAGCTCAAGAAATGTTTATTACTTTAGTTTCAGTTTAATCATAATTTTTAAAGTCATCTCCAAATATAAATAAATAGTAAGTTATATTTATTTGACAACAATTATTAAAACTAATAAAGTTGTCAACATTTCTATGAAACATTTATAACACCTCCAGATATCCCTGTCCTCATAATGTCAGACATCTCTTACTTATATAATGATTACTATAATGTATACATTTATATAATGTGTTCAAGTATATCACATCAAATGAGGTATCCCTGACACTAATAGTGTGAACAGCATATTATTTATTATTATAAACAGTAGGATATTTGTAAGACCAAATAATACAAGAGCACAGGTAGGTATGGATCACATGGGGGACAGACACTCACAGAAATAGACGGCCACGAAGTCGTTATCATTGAGCAGTTTATCCAACATTTTTCGGTTCACTTCTTCGATCTCATCCTTGATCTCGAAGACATCATTACTGGTCAGCCATTTGAG